AATAAAATCTACGTGACTGAAAAAACTAATTATTAAATTTATCAAGTTCAGAGGAAAAGACGATATCGATTTTCAATTTTGCCTAATTACGTTTTTCTTTTAATATTGTCTTTTTAGGGTTAGTGAGAGAGAGATTTTAGAGAGAAAAATAAGGCGAATTTTTTGGGCACGAAACAAGATGGCACATTTTGTTTGCGACATTCAAAGTTTCACGAGAACGAAAAACTGATACATAGGGTCGCAAAAACCATAATAGTATTACATTACGAGTGTAGAAAGTGGCAAATTTCACACGAGTGTGAAAGAGACGCTTTCTCACGTGTGATGTACAATGTACACCATTTTTCCTACGACCAGAAACTGATTTACACCAATTTCTTCTTATTTTATTTCTTTAAATTTTCAACACACGTGCTGAAAGTACCTACTTTCCACCCACGTATTGAAAGTAAATTTTTGAACATGATGTTTTGCTTCCTCTGTCATTTTTGTCAACAGTATTTTCCACGCGCGTGTTGAAAGTACTTTCAGCACACGTATTCAAAGTATTTTCGGCACGCGTGTGATATTTAGAGCTTTCTAACGAGCCAGCCAGTGCGAATTTTGACATTTTCGTATGTGGTCGTAGGAAAAGTTCTATTTCTGCTGGTTACCGAGGAACCCGGTGATTACAAACAATTTGGGATACAGTGTAGATACATAAATGGTGTTACAGTGAAGTTAAGATATATTTCAATTTCAGGAAGAACTGGATCAAGTTGATTTTGAATGGAATATCCATAGAATAAGACGTTCTCGAAATTCAAGAGGTCCAACGGGACGCCCAATTTGTATGTTCGAACTTCCAGAAAATTACGGACGTGCGAACTGTTTAGTACATATTCCTCAAGAAATAATCAACGTCATAAAAGAAGATAGAGATGTCATAAGGGAAATACCTTTTTGCGATAACGATGTGAAAAATCTTTGCGACTCTATTCTCTGTGAACGAGAATATATAAGACCAAATGGGTGTAATGCTGGGGATGCAATTAATTTATATTATACATTAAGGACTCAAATTTTACATTTATTGCAAACAGTTTGAATATCTATCTAGTATAGATAGGTACCACAATGTAAATGTAGCTTATTTCTGCGGTACTTAATATATAATTTAAAGAAGAAAACGTAGGTTGCAAGAAAAATACATTCATTTATTGTTTTCACATTTTTAATTGTCTAGGTAGGTACCAACCTCTTGGTATCCAAATCCAAGTTGGTAATGAATCAATAATAACAATAGTTGAGTTCGGTTAATCCTACGCGAACTAAAAGATGCCATTGTTGACAGAAGCTCACGTGATTCTTTATTTGAAGTATCAAAATTGATCTCGTGTGCATCTGTCAACAGTCTACACCAGACTGACGGTTCAGCTAACAGCGTTTTCGTGAAAAAAACAAACGTAATTGTTGATCGGATCGACAATTGTCGATCGGAACGACAATTGTCGATCGGAACGACAATTGTCGATCGGACCGACAATTGTCGATTGGACCGACAATTGTCGATTCAAATACACGTTAAAAAATATATATTGATGTTGGCCCTTCTACGCCTTCGTAGTAATGCAATGGCTACCGGTTGTGGAATTTGTAAGGTATAATGCCTATTGGTTTAAGGTTTCCATACGTCCGGATTTACCCGGACATGTTTGGGTTTTTAGGGTGTCCGGGGGAGTCCGGCCGGAATTCGGAACAATGTCCGGAAAATTCGGAGATCGTGAAAACACTCACACTCAGTTTACGCACTATTCAAAAAGAAAGAAAAGAGAAGAAAATTTTACTTCACGCATTGGTATCTACGTAAAGTAATTCACTTTACACGCTAGTATGTGAAGTAATGTCAATGACAGATGTCGACACTGTCATTTTTTTTCTAGTAAATTACGCACTAGTGCGTTAAGTATTTGTCCAATGGCCGTTTGTACCGACTATTTTAAGGGAATTTTAGCGATAAGTATTTCTTTAAGTGACATTTCTCCATGTAAAAATGTCATTTTAAGGAATACTTATCGCTAAGGCTTCGTTAAAATGGTCGGTGCAAACGGCCATAAATCTAGTTTTCTACACATATTATTTTATTGTTAGTAGAAATTTTTTATGTATGCAAACTTTGTACCTAGATGAACCTTTTTTCACGAATGTGAATTTGGTCGCACTCGCCTTTCACTTTACACACTTGTTGCATAAATAGCTCTTTCGGGGAAGTCCAGATTTTGTCCGGATTTCTTGACTTCTTTGTCCTGAATTCTGAAAAACCTTTATGGAAACCCTACCTTGGTTTTTATTTTTAAGATAAAGATTGGACGTGCTCCTGAATACCTTATAAACAAAATAGTTTACAACAATGAAGTGCATAACTATAATACCAGAAATAGAAATAATTTTTTCATAACTCCAAAGAGTAAAAAATGTACAATGAATTCAATTTTTCATAAAGGATTTAACGAGTTTAATAACCTACCAGAAGAGATAAAAAACTGCACTTCATTGTTGAGTTTCAAGAAAAAACTAAAAATTTATATGCTAGGTAATTGTGATATACTGGATGGTTGATCTTGTGATAACTTTTAAATTATTGTGTATCGTTTGTGATTATTAAGTTTTGTTCTGTTAGTTTACCTATTTTATGAATTATTTATTATCTTACATTTTATTTTTTACTTACTTTTCATATATATGTATATGTATATTTTGTACTATTGTAAACTAGCAATTTTTATGCTAAATAAAGGATTTAATAATAATTGATATACAGGGTGTCCCACGGTGGATGGCGTATTAGACGTTTATGGAAAACTAAAAATCGGATCATTTTGAAAATTTGGCAACCGGGATAAACGTCCATAATCTATACATCAAAAATATTTTTGTTTATGCGGTATTGCCGCTTCTACTCTTAACAAGAGGCAACATCGCTATTTTAAATAGAACATCCTGTATGTGATTGCATATTTGGATTCTACGTCTACGTAAAATTCTGAGCAGATTTCATGTGATGTACCCTATACCTAAGTTCAACTGTTTTGGAAATATTGACAGTTGAAAATTGACTTTTTGCAACTTTGACCGGCTGTAAAACCTGAACGGTTAATTTTCAAGGAAAACCGATTTTACATTCCTATCTTAGATTTTTATAAACTATCATTTGACAGCAACTTTAAATTTAATCCATGATTAAAAATTCCAATTAAATTTAATCTTCGGTTAAATTCAAAATTGGTGCCAAATGATAGTTTATGAAAATCTAAGATAGGAATGTGAGATCGGTTTTCCTCTAAAATTAACCGTTCAGGTTTTACAGCCTGTCAAAGTTGCAAAAAGTCAATTTTCAACTGTCAATATTTCCAAAACAGTTGAACTTAGGTATAGGGTATATCACATGAAATCTGCTCAGAATTTTACGTAGAATCCAAATATGCATACACATACAGGGTGTTCCATTTAAAATAGCGATGTTGCCACTGGTTTAGAGTAGACGCGGCAACACCGCATATACAAAAATATTTTTAAAGTGTAGATTATGGTCGTTTATCCCAGTTCCCCAATTTTCAAAATGATCCGCTTTTTAGTTTTCCATAAACGTCTAATACGCCATCCACCGTGGGACACCTTGTATAGGGTGTCCTATTTAAAAAAATCGTACTTTGGTCAATATCTCAAAATGGGAGCGAAATAGAAAAAAACTGAGTACGCCACTGGATTGCGCTCAAAAAAATACTCCAAAAATGTTTTCTTCACAGAAATAAAAAAAATTGATAAACAAAAAACTTATAGCCATTTTTCATATTAGGGAAAAATTGAAAATCGCCCCGTATTAATGGTACTATTGAAGATATCGTGAAACGATACGGTTTTCGACAATCGACGTTTCTCGAAAATCAATCCCATGACATCCAAGTCAGTTTTCCTCTATCTGTTCTGGAAACAAGTTTTTCCTGTTAAAATACTCCAAATTGCAGCACCCTGTACAGGGTGCTGCAATTTGGAGTGTTTAAACAGGAAAAACATACTTCCTGACCAGAAAGAGGAAAATTGACTTGGACGAATTAGATGTCATGGGATCGATTTTTGAGAAACGTCAGTTGTCAAAAACCTTATCACGATATTTTCAATGGTACCATTGATACAGGGCGATTTTCGATTTTCCCCGAATATGAAAAATGGCTATAAGTTTTTCATTTGTCAATTTTTTTTATTTCTGTAAAAACATTATGGAGACACTTTTCTGAGCACAATCCAGTGGCGGACTCAGTTTTTTTCTACATCACTCCGATTTCGAGATATCGACTAAATTCCGATATTTTCAAATGAAACAGCCACACCCACACCCACACGTAAATTAATAGCTTATTGGATAGCTCTGTCTTTGCCGATTTCAATGATATAAAGTTCGATAGGTTTATCTCTAACAGTTTTCGAGAAAAAATATTATATCTGTTTTTGTCGTAAGGACCAAAGTGTTAGAAAAGAATTTTATATGTGTAGGGAAAATGAGGAAGGTCTCTTTCCAACACATTGTTTCTGAAGATATAATATTTTTTCTCGAAAACTGTTAGAGATAAACCTATCGAACTTTATATCATAGAAATCAGCAAAAACGGAGCTATCCAATGAGCTATTAATATATAGGGTATTTCATTTGAAAATATCGGAATTTGGTCAATATCTCGAAATCGGAGCGTTACAGAAAAAAACTGTGTCCGCCACTGGATTGTGCTGAAAAAAGTGTCTCCATAATATTTTTACAGAAACAAAAAAAATTGATAATAAAAAACTTATAGCGATTTTTCATAATAGGAGAAAATCGAAAATCGTATTGGTATTAATAGTACAAGCTGTGATAGTAGCATTGAACATATCGCGATGCGGTTTTTGACAATCGACGTTTCTGGAAAATCAATCCCATGACATTTAAGTCAATTTTCCTCTATCTGGTCTGGGAGTGTGTTTTTCCTGTCAAAACACTCGAAATTGCAGCACCCTGTACTTGAGAAAATTAAAATTATAGAAGTGACTTAAAACTAAAATAACACATAAGAAAACATTAGAAAGGACTTAAACAAGTACAAACATTCCAACATACCAAATACGAAGCAAAGTTAACACAATAAAGAAAAGGACATTTGACAATTTGACTCATTACTTTGTAAAGTGAATAGTGAATTACTTTACACATACGTGAAATGAAGTTTTAGGTCTTTTGAATAGTTCGTGAAGTGTGTACTTTACGCACGTTAATAGAAAATTGTTATTTATACACCAAGTGAGTTAAATGAATGTTTATTCATGAGAAGGAAGTTTAACCCACGAGTCCTAGCGTGTGAGTAAGTTTTTTTCGAATGAATTAACATTTTAACTCACATGATGTATACAAGATTTAATTTAACTTTCTCACTAGTCGAACCTGTTGGTATTAATATTATTGGTAGGATTAAAAAAAGCTAGAATCAACCTATTTCGAATATTCACTATAGTTTTATTCCTTAACCATTTTCAATAAAAATATTTGACCAATCACAATCACTATTATTTAATTTTTTAATATCATCATAGCTTTTAAAATATTTCCCATCACATTTATCATAATCATATGTAATAAAATCTCCAACTTTCGCTTCTTCAACTTCGGGTTTTAGTTCTTCATAAACTGAATTTCTAGAATCATAATTAAGCTTCAAAGGCATTGTTTTGAGGAACCGTTCTCTTGCAAAAAGTTGAGGTCTCAATCCAAAATTTTCATTAAGAAAATCTAGGGTAGAACTAAATGTTTTTAAATTATTAAAAATTTGTCTTTGCCTTCGGCTAAGTATTTTGTCCAGCATAAACACTAAATGATGATGGAAACACTGGAATGTTAAATTGAAGGGTTTCTCTGGAATAACAGTGGTGTTTGTAGAAACTGTCTTATCAAAAACCTCTAAAGTCAAAGTACTATTATAGCAAATATCCAGCCATTCTTGTACACACTCCATTGAAGTCACTTTAACTCCCATGAAAATTTCAGGATTATTTAATATTCCATTAGCAACCATTACCCCTTTAATGCCAGTTTTTTCTTGAAGCTCATAGCAAGATTCCAAATTTGTTATCCCCCCATTACCTATTATCGGAATTTGAACACTTTCACTAATTAACTTTAATGCGTCTTCATTTATAGGCCCAACATTATTACTTGCAGTTCTTGCATGTATAGTCACAAAGCTAACACCACATTTTTCTAATTCTTTGCACAAATAAACATTGTCCTTATCACATTTTTGTATCCTTGTTTTAACACTTACAGTAAAAGGTTTTGCTATGCGGTTTCTGCATTCACGAACCAACTGAAATATTTTTTGAGGGGTTTTTAACAGTTCACAACCTAAATTCATATCTTTCGCCCACCTTTGAGGGCATCCGCAATTTAAATCGACTCCGTCACAGTGGGGCGCTGCTAGGTAACTCGCTCCAACGAAGTCGTGCACATTGTTGGCTGCAAATTGTGTTATTAAAGGTGTATCTAACAAGTTTGTGGTGAATTCATTGTTGCGGGCTTTGGGGCTTTTGCAAAACGAGTCAGCTAAGATCATGGGAGTGAAGACCAAGTCACAGTCGTATTGTCTCAGGAGAGTTCTGAATTGGAGTTTCGTGTAGCGGACCATCGGGGCGCATATTTTCACAAGAGGTTTTTGATTGAATAGTTCTAGAATGTCGGTTGATTGTTTTTGAGCCATGGCATCACGTTTTTTTTTAGGAGATCTGGGATATGAATGATATTCAAAAAAAATATTAATTCTGCACGGCCTGCTTGATTCGAGAATCGAGGAAGTTTGAGATATTTGTTTTTCGAGATTTGTTTTTGTGTTATGAAGTGAAAGTGAGGTTATGATGTGCATTTTCATTAGGGTACCGATATCAACTGTCAATAATAGTTGTATTTTTACCCGCTTTCCCGTATGGGAGTAGTTGTATTCCTTTCACACCTAGGAGGAGCTCCGGAACAGCTCCGGGGCTTCACGCGCTTATTTCTTTCGAAAAGTGTTTGTTGCACCACGCATATGTTCCCTGCAAATCGGGGGCGACTAAGCACCGAAGCGAGTAGCTCGAGTGTTTCAAGTTCTTGAAAGGAATACAACTAGTGTGACGCCCGAAGCTACTCGGGGCGTTGAGCTCCCGAGCTGTACGTACACGTCAACCTGTCAGCTGTCACATCCGTGGGTGGCTATTTATTTATTTATTTATTGTTATATCTCAAGATTGAACATTTTAAAAAATATAGTTTTGATTCTCTTTCATTTATGATAAATAAAAAAACAAACTGCACAAACAAACAGATAATTATTTTTAAAATTTGACATATTTGACACTAAGACAGGCGTCTCACGTCATGATACTGGAACGGTACAAATCTAGTGCGTGGCGCCCCCGAGGTGCTCTAGAGCGCGCCAGAGCGCGCCAATGTGCATACTGGAAAGCGGCTCCCTTTCACACCTAGGAAGAGCTCCGGAACAGCTCCGGGGCTTCACGCGCTTATTCCTTTCGAAAAGTGTTTGTTGCACACGCATCTGTTCCCTGCAAATCGGGAGCGACTGAACACCGGAGCGAGTAGCTCGAGTGTTTCAAACTCTTGAAAGGAATACAACTACTCAGTACTGAATTTACTGGACGCCGTTCCAGTTCCGATATTATTTTCAGTACACTGGATTCAGGGCCGGTATTATAAAACACTGAACCGATGGTTGAGTTTCAACCTTCGGTTGAATCCTATCAATTTGCATGGAGTCAACCGAAGGTTGAAACTCAACCATCGGTTCAGTGTTTTATAATACCGGCCCTCAGTGGATTCAGTCGATTCAGTACTGAATGACCACAAGAGTACGCTGTTGAAAGCGGAACGGCAAATTACAGTAAAATCAGCACAGTAAGGGCGGGTATTATAAAGCTACTTTGAGAGTTAACTTGAAGTTAACTTTTTGAATTACATGTAATTCCAGAAGTTAACTTCAAGTTAACTCTCAAAGTAGTTTTATAATACCCGCCCTAAATCCAGTACTGGCAGTTGATATCGGAACATACCCAGCAAACACGGAAAGTCAGCCGCTGCGCAAAAACTGTGATACTGTGCTGTACTTGTTGTACAGCGATGTAGACGAAGCAGCTGCATCAGCCCGGACCATATATGTCCCACCGGCCGGCATCTGGCGCTGCACTGTTCATGCTGCATTTGAGTACAGCCACTGTGCAGTAGCTCTGCCTCTTCATTAGGCAATTTTTACACAGCAATAACGCAGCGCTCTTGCAGACGTCGTACATATTTGTTTCGCAATAACTGTGCAGCCAATATACCGTTTAGGTATATTTACCTGTGGCACTCTAAATTTAATGGACATAATTTATTTTATATAGACAGGATATTTTTGAAAAATGACAAAACAAATTTAAGTATATAGAATATATTGAGGAGGGACATTAAACAAAAAAAATTCCTTATTCGTTAAGCATATTTTGGTGGCTTTTTCAGCTTCTGATTGAGACGCATTCTGACTGGCTCTATTTTTTCTTATCGACTATATAAGGACAAAATTGAGTTAAAATTTAAAAACCGTTTTACCTTGCATCAACTTACCTAAATTGCTTTATTGATGTTGATATTATAGGTATATTCTGAAAATTGTGCTTTTTGAAGGCGCCCTGTCCAGTTCAGCTGAGGAGTTGAATTTTTAGATAATAATCTGGCTAATATGTTCCTACATACTTCTTCAGTATTTCTGCCCCATAGTATTCCAAGACTATTTACCTGAAAGATTATTTCTCTTTTGTAAATCCATTTTTTAAATCACAAAAATAGAAAACGGAAAACGGGGACAAATAGAAAAACGATAGAAAACTTAGGTTATGATAATACGATACGGGGGCCTTTGTTTTTGTTTATTTGTATCAATTTTTCACCTACCTTGTTTCCTCTTGTTGAAAATAATGCATCTTGTACACGTAGTAATACAAATCACAGGTAAAAGACACGTGAAAAACACCACAACAATAAATTATAAATCAAAAACGCTGCCCTGCATCAGTGAAACAATACAATACAATAAAATAAAACAAAATGGCTACGCTCACAACTCTACGGCAAAAAATACTGTGCTCGCGCAAATTGGCACATTTCTTTACAGTAACTGCACTAACATTTTACAACAGTTGTTGCATCAATATGCGCATGGGAGATCGAAAAAATCTATCGCTTTTCCAATACAAAATCTGCAAAGCCGCTGCATATCAAATACTGCACTTCTAAAATACAGTATTCCCAAAACAAGTGCTGCGCAGCATCGATAAAACTATTTTTCTACAAACGTCACTAAAAGTGTCATTTTTAACGGATGCTGTCAGTGTCTAAAATGCCATTTTATGACACTGGTATTAAAAGTGATTACTTTTAGCACTAGTGCTAAAAGTAATCACTTTTAGCACTGATCAGAAAATGTAAAAACATAGGAAATTTTATATCAAAGTAAAATATTTATTTAATTAAATTAAAATTAGCGAAACTGCAATTAGAATAAGAAACTCCATGGCCAATCTCATTGGTAGCAAATACTGAATTTATTTTGGTAAAACTTGTACCAGGAGAGTAAAGAGCAATGTTATTCTCCGAACTTTTGGGCAGAATTTGATCCGCAATGTTCTTTTGTATGAAAACTCGTACTGTTGCTTTGACTTGCTAGGCAATAATTCGAAAGTAGCTTTATTGGCAGCTTCTTCAATTTCCGCCGGGAGAAATTCATTGTCTTGATCACTTTCCATCGCCCAGAAAATAAACTACAATGAAACTGGATGAAACCACGCAAAAGCCAAAAATTGTGCAGAAACCGTAAGCAAAAATTCGTGATTATTTGACGTTATTAATCAACAATGACAAACAGAGATGACAAATAAAAATAAACAAATTCGTTTTTTTTCTTGCCAGCAACCTATTTCATAAATAAATTAGATGAAAGATTTGAAATTGAGGATTTCAAGGATGCGTTAATTTGGACTTTTAAACAGTGTTTGTAGAAAAAATAGTGTATGATATTCGTGCTAAAAGTGATTTTATTTTGTTCAAAGGGATGGAACACTCCGCCTTCGGCGTCGTGTCCCAAACTTCCCTTTTCACAAAATAAAATGTCACTTTTAGCACTTATATCATAAATAACTATTATGTGCTGTATTTGGGCTGTGTTCGTGATACAGCAACATTACAGCGCCGATAAGTTGTGTTTGTTGGGTAGCCTAGTTGAATTCCTTTCAAGAGTTTGGAACACTCGAGCTACTCGCTACGGTCTTGCCTAGTACTCATAACCGCGAAGTTTGCTCTTAATTCGCTCTTTTTTGACAATTGCTTCAACAATTTGACGTTTCATTCACGCATAAAGGTTAGTACTCATAACTGCGAAATTCGCATTTTTTTGACATTGCGTTGACAATTTGACGTTTTATGCGTGTATCAAACGTCAAATTGTCGAAGCAATGTCAAAAAAATGCGAATTTCGCAGTTATAAGTACTAGGCTTAAGGGTGGATTTTCATGCATCCGTTTGTCCGACGAAATATGTCCGAAAAATCTTCTATTTTGACATATTTTTATACGATTATGTCAGAATAGAATGTTTTTCGGACATCTTTCGTCGGACAAACGGATGCATGAAAATCCACCCTAAAGCCTAGTACTCATAACTGCGAAATTCGCATTTTTTTGACATTGCGTTGACAATTTGACGTTTTATGCGTGTATCAAACGTCAAATTGTCGAAGCAATGTCAAAAAAATGCGAATTTCGCAGTTATGAGTAGAGATGGAGAACTATCGATGGCGCTATCGATAACTATCGATAGTATTGACTATCGAAATATATCGATAGTTTTAATCAACTATCGATAGTTTTCGATAGTTAGCTGAAACGCCCGTTAGTAAGTGAAAGTTAGGTTCGTGCACAAAACTGAACTGCAAAATTGCAAAACAGAACAGTTTTAACTGGTTTGGACATCTTTTTTGATTTCCTTGCTTTATTTTTCAGGGACAATGGAAAATTTTCTAATAATATAAAAAATAATCTGAAAGGTCTGAAAGGATTTTCAGTACTGCTGGTGCGTGGTGCCATTATTTCTGACAAATAATCTTGTCTGAAAGCGTTTTGTGCTGAAAGCCAAAAATGTTGAATTTTTGAAATGATAAGATAATGATTTAATACAAAAATTCTAGAATTTTAGAATAAGATAGGTACTTACATATTTTTAGTTTCAAAAAAAAGTATTTTTTCTGCAAATGAGATATCAGAGGCCGGATTCTGTAATCGGATAGAGATCGTTATCTTTATCGCTATGGCACTTGCTGTCTTATCTCTTTTCGAAATCAATAGAGAGGAGACGTACCTACGTCAATAGAGATAGACGACGAATCATGCGAAAATATCTCTATTCATCACAGAATTCCACTGCAGATGTTGATGTTAAAGTTAGTTATTTAGCTATTTCCTAGTACACAGATGTCTTTCCTTTTACCTTATAACTTGTATTTAATTACTATCGAAAACTATCGATATTTATCGATAGTCAAGGTCCCGACTATCGATAACTATCGATGGTCGTGACTATCGATAGTTCTCCACCTCTAGTTATGAGTACTAGGCTTAAAGCCTACTCATAACTGCGAAATTCGCACTTTTTTGATATTGCTTCGACAATTTGACAATAGATTCACGCATAAAACGCCAATTTGTCGAAGCAATGTCAAAAAAGCGCGAATTTCGCAGTTATGGTTATGAGTACTATACCTTTACAACTTCAAATTGAGACTTATCACAATCAAATTGAGAACAAACATTTTCAAATTGAGATTAAACAAAATCAAATTGAGAA